GGAGTTGTCTTAGATCCCTGCATTGCTGAGAAGAGCCAAGTCTATCAAAGTCAGTCATCGCACAATGTGGCTATTACTGTGCACAATGTTCCCCTGGTTCTGCTCATTTCATTCAGCATCAGTTCATATAAGTCTTTCCAGGTTTTTCTAAAGTATGCCTTCTCATCATTTCTTGTAGCACAATAACATTCCACTACATTCATATGCCACAACTTGTTCAGCCATTCACCAATTGATGGACAATCCCCTCAATTTCCAATTCTTTACCACCACAAAAAGAGCTGCTATAACTATTTTTGTGCAAGTGGTCCCTTTTCCCATTTTTATGATGTCTTCGGAATACAGACCTAGAAGTGGTATTGCTGGGTCAAAGGGTATGCACAATTTTATAGCCCTTTGGGCATAGTTCCAAATTGCTCTCCAGAATGGTTGGAGCAGTTCCCAACTCCACCAACAGTGCATTAGGGCTCCAACTTTCCCACATCTTCTCCAACATTTATCATATGCCTGTTTTGTCATGTTAGCCAATGTGATAGGTGTGATGTGGCACCTCAGAGTCATTTTGATTTGCCATCACCAGTCTTCTTGACTTTTGTCCTGTCACTGGACTTGGATGACTCTGGAAGAAAGAGTGAGGCTGATGATTTTGTGCAACTCAGTCTCACTTAAATCCAATTTACCTGTGAGTCCAGACATCACCTTGTGATGTAATTGTTTTTCTTAAAAAATGAAGGACAAACAACAACGTTTTCTGTTATTCGAACAGGGACTGGATGAAAACTTATCGGACAGGTACAGTTTGGACTCTATAAACTATGAAAGCCATTCCAAATCTCAGAGTCTGTGATTTGGTGACAACTTTGGCAAGGAAATGTTAAGATTTTAAAACTACAACCCTGGAGGTCAATACGAGTGAAGAGTAATCAAACCAGAAGAAAGAAGACAAATACAGTTCTTGAAAAACAGCTCATTTCTCATCTGGAGTCTGAGCTGAGACTCTCACTAGTAAATAGTGAGAGTGGAAAACCTGGTAGGGAGTCAGGGTTCCTTTCTGACAATTCCTTTTATGGGTCAATATTCATCAGTCTTCTCCGTATTCACCCCTCCTCATTCCTGGACTGAATCAGTAACAGAAATGAGTACAAATAGAAAATATTTTTGAAGAAAAATACCATATTTACTGATTTAATGGCTGTCTTCAGAATAGCTGTATTTAGATGTGTGGTGTCCAATTTTGTGAAGGACTCTGTATACATATAGAAGCCACTTCAAAAATACTTGTAAAATGAATGATGAATGAATAAATGGAGATCTAGAATAAGAGATTGTAATCATACTACATTAGGAAGAATGATGGATTCAGACAGAGGCCCTAGCTCTGACACTTATTAATTGTGTGAACATGGGCAAATCTTTCAATCTTTTGGAGGCTATTTCCTCCCCAATAAAATGAAAAAAATGAATGGATCTTGATGACCTGGATGGCCCCTGCCTAGATCTAGATGGATGGTCCTTTATGAACTCATTTGGATTGTGCCACTCACGAAACAAATCAGCTTACCACTACCATTAATCACTAGCATAATAATATAGCACTTTAAGGTCTGCAAAGTTTTATAGATGAGGAAACTGAGGCTCATATAAGTTAAGTGACTAACCCACGGTCACACAGGTAGTAAGTGTCTAAGGCAGGACTCAGGTCTTCCTGACAACAAGACCACTCAATTCACTGTGCTACCCTAATTGCCAACAACAATTACCACTACTACTACTACTACTACTACTACTACTACTACTACTACTACTACTACTACTGCTGCTGCTGCTGCTGCTGCTATTTATGTACCACTTTAAAGTTTGTGAAGCACTTTACAAATATTATCTTATTCTTACAATAACCTTTTGAGGTAAGTGCTACCTATATACCCATTTAATAATGAGATAAAGGCTGAGTGACTTGCCCAGGGCAAGGTAATTTGTCTGGTAACAATACTGGTAACTTGTCTGAGATCAGATCTGAGCTCAGCTCTTCCTGCCTTCAGGTCTAGCCAATCAAACATGTAAGTATTTGTTTGTCACTAAGGTATAGATACATTGCACACACACACAAGCACACACACACACACAGATATCAACTTGATGGCACAGTGAATACAACACTGTATCTGGACTCAGGAAGACTGGAGAATCCCACCACAGATACTTATTAGCTGTGTGACCTTGGGCAAGTCACTTAACTTCTCTCTGCCTCAGTTTCCTCATCTGTAGAATGAGGATAATAATAACATCTACTTCAGAGGGTTGTCGTGAGGATCAAATACGATATATTTATTGCACTTTGGCACTGAAAGTACTATATCTAGCTATTAGTATTAGCGTTAGCATTGTCATGTGCCAAGCAAAAACACAATGTCATGTGTTATGGGGTTGCAAGCAGCATGTAGGATATGGTCCCTATTCCTTCAGTCAAGGATGAAAGATACATGAAACAATCAGATAGCAAGGCAAAGAAGTAGATCATTCAGAGTCTATTTATATAGTATTATTATTTTAGAGTTGGAAGAAGAGACAACACTAAGATATCATGGAAAGAACTCTGGATTTGGAGTCACAAAACCTTGGTTCACCCCCTTGAGCCTCAGTTTCTTTCCCTGTAAGACCAGGAGCATGGGCGATCTCTAAGATCTCTTTCAACTGCAATTCTGTCACATTCTATTCCTTCTCCAACAATCTCAACTCCCTCCTAAGGGTATAAGTAGAAAGCCTTGTCCTTGGATTCACAGCTCCATAGGCAAGGCTTCAACCCAAATGCCCTGAGTTCTGATTGCTTTTGGTCCAGGTGGGAGAAAGCAATTTCAGGGAGTCTTAAACTTAATTGGTTTGTGTCCACATATGAACACCCTTGGTTCTGCACCTATCTAGAAAGCCCACTTCTAGTGTGTACATTGCTCTTATGCTGGTCACTTTATGAAATCCTTACCTCATGGAGATGGGGAAAAGAATTAGTTTCTGTGTGTTCTGCTTGTCAAAAGAGGCTTGTTTACACCATTAGTAATATCAACAGAACAGGGACTCTGCCATGGCCTGGGTAGCCCCAGAATCACAGCCGGGGCTGGCATGGTAACAGTGACTGGCATCCCAGTAGTGATGCACATCCTAAACTTTAATGCTACCACCCAGTGGACCCTGAACCCACAATTTGCTTTAAAAATCCTTGTTTTAAATATGCTGCTGAAATGTCAGTAAATATGGTAATCTGACTCCTTCTATCAGCTGGCAACGCATAAGCAGCCATGAATAAAAGCAGTCAGTTGTGATCGGCCCACTGGAAAGGTCCACTACCCAGGCCATGATGTCATTCCAATGCCTCTTTATTATTGCCAATGTGGTGGTGGCTTTGTTTAGCCTCCTTTGTGTGATGCAAACAAGTAGGTGCTGAGGCCCATGAAATTAGAAGGCATGTTTAAGCAGATGGGGGAGAAAATAGGTCTTAGTCAGGTAATTCGGCTCCGCCAGGCTATTCACACACCCCAGGGCCTGTGATGACATCAGGGTAATCATGAGAACCAAAAGTGAGTCATCTGGTGCCTGAGACACAACTGCTCCATTCATGCTTTGACTGCTGTGCTTCGTTATCTGCATTTTGAATGACAGTGCAGCATTTCTGTCTTTAGTATGTCTTTAGTCAAAATTATGTAGGACAAGACCCCTTTCCCCTAAATCTTCCAGCATGAAATAGTCAACAGAAGATTTTTCAGCCAATGAAATGGGAAAAAAAACCCCTCTGTCTGGGCTTTGCTTGCATCCTTCAATTTAGTTGCTGCTGTTGTTCAGTTGTGACCAACTCTTTGTGACCCCATGTGGGGTTTTCTTGGCAGAGACACTGGAGTGGTCTGCCATTTTCTTCTCCAGCTCATTTTACATTTGAGGAAACTGAGGCAAATAGGATTAAGTGACTTGCTCAGGGTCACACAGCTAGTTAAGTGTCTGAGGCCAGATTTGAATTCAGGAAGTTGAATCTTCCTGACTCCAGGCCTGACACTCTATCCACTGTACCACCTAGCTGCCCTAATTTAGTACAGAAATTTTTATTCCACCATTTATATAACAGCAGCAGCAGCAATAATAATATGGACAGCACCAGTGGCTTCATTTATATAATGAACTCCTGGAAAATGAAAGTCTTTCTACCAATGTAAGTCAGAAGTCAGCACCTGCTCTATAACTTTTATTCTTAAGAGATTTGCCTAGACAAAAGCTCATGAGGTTAAGTGACTTTTCCAGAGTAATGCAACCAGCATATATGAAAGAGGGACTTGAATCTGTGTCTTCCTGATTAAAGGTGAGTTCTTTATTGACTGTACAACACATCTTCCCATGTCAAGAGCTCAGGTTTATATAGTGCATCAAGGTTTGCAAAACTCTTAATTTTTTAGCTTATTTTTTCAATTTTCAAATCCACAAAAGCATTTACTAAGTACATACTGTATGCCAGACACTATGTTAAATGCTTAACAAGAAAGTAACGAAATTAAGCAATTAACAAAAATCTATTTTCTCACCCTCCTACCCGCTGTCCCCCAATTGCAAAAAAAGAAGAAAAATAAAACCCTTTCCAAAAACATGCATAAATAAAATATGTACAAATTCAATGTTTACTGCTCTGAGAAAGCCTTCCAGGGAAAGGAATAAAAATGAGTGGAAATGGTGAGCGGGGTAGTTGACTAGGACTTAAAGAATTTGGAACATGTTATATTGGTTAGTTCCTTTGTGCTCAGAGAGGATCAACATGACATCATTATATCAGGGTCCATGTGCAGTGTGTCCAGCTGTGGCTGATCAGACTAACATGAACTCAGAAAGCTCTAACAGAGGTCAGGCACAAATAGTCCACATGAATATTTGAAGTGGAGATGTCTCTAAATGTGTACATCTCATGTTTCTCTTGAGTTACTGTAATTCTACTTCGTTTATGCAGCACAGCACCTTCTTTGATGCAGGTACGCCTTGCTGGGTGGTCATACTTTGCCAACATCTCCCACGTCTCACAATTGATTCCAGAGTTCTTCAGAAAGAACACGGTACGTAAGATAAAGCTGGAAAGGTAGGAAATTGTGGAGAGCCTTGAGTACCAGACAAAGGAATTTAAACTTAACTCAGTAGTCAAGAAGGAATCTTTGAAAGGTTTTAAAGAGAGAAATGGCCTGAAGTATGTATGAGAAAGTTTAGGCTGGCAGTGATGGCCACATTGGATTGGAGATAGCAGAAAGCAGAGATGGGAAGATCTGTAAAAACTACACTAGTCTAGGGAGGTGGTAATAAGGATACAAACTTGGCTTATATTGGTAGAAATAGAGAAGATATAAAAGATTTTGCAGCACTATTATGGACAGGCTATGGTGACTGATTGAATAGGAGTAATTAGGGCAAAGGAAAGAGTAAACAATAAACCCAAATTTCCAAATAATGGGAGACTGGATGAATGGTTGTACCATAGACAAAAAGGGTGGACTCAGAATAAGAAGCAAGTTTGGGATGAAAGATGACGTGGTTTGGACATATTAGGTAAGAGATTTTCTTGGGACAGCCAAGAAAAGATGTCTCGTAGGCAGCTGGAGACAAACTTCCTCATGATGTCTTTATGAGATGGCATGATGTAGGTTAGAGGATAGAGGATCTGTCTACATTAATGTGGACCCAGCACTGATTGGACGACCAAACATCTGGGACAAAGGGAAAGGGGAAGATGATGTTCAAAAGCTTGAGATGGAGGAAAGGAGTTGAAGGAACTTCCACTGTATGGCTTCAATCTCAGCGAAGTAAGAGATGAAGTTGATTTTTTTAACTACAGGGAATGAGAGTTCAGGTTGAGAGACTGAGGAGAGAGGAAAAGGTTTAGAACAGTCATTGAGATAAGGATACAATAAGAGTGTAACAGATGGATTGCTAGTAAGCAGTAGAGACCCAACTGTGGTCACACAGCAGCAACTCCCAGTAGACAAAACTAAGGAAGAGGGAGGGGAAGTAACCTACCTAAATGTTACAAGCAGTTGTATCATCAAATTAGAATCAGCACTGACAACCGAGTCCTCCCTCCTTAGTCCAATTATGTTTCCATTGAACCAAGATGAAAGGTGGGAAGATAGTGCTCATTGATTGTGGTCCTTTATGTTGGTTTGAAATACTTGTCCTTTCTCTGACTGCCTTGTTTGTTCTACAATCTTACCCCAAGCCTTTCAAACCATGGATGCTAATTTAGGGAAGGCCTGTGAAGATCTAGCACTTGGGAAAGCAACCACCTCCAGCTGCCTCCCCCCACCCCCGCCCAATATACAGTAGCCAAATTCTATGGTTCGTGTAAGTGGTTGCATTTTGGTAAATAAAACCATCCTTCTTAAAGCCCTGCATCAGCCTCAGTCCATGCAGCAGCTTTTTTTCCTATATCATTCCTGATATCTTCATCTAATAACTTTTCGTTTTCAATTTGCATCAGACTTCAGCCCATCCTTATTGGGCAGGCACTGCCCCATTTGCATTATTCCATAGCCTCAGTTTTAAATGCATAGAATGCTGAAGCTATTAACGAGGCTGGGATTTTCATAATAAGACATAAGACAACAAGGCAGGGTAGAATACAGAACAGGAAGCTACTCTGTCCTCTCAAAGGATGAATAATGGAGTCAGAGGCACATTTGTGGAAAGAACTGTATTGCTCCCTCTGTGGGGCTTCAGCTGTTTGAAATGGATTAGAAGTTGAATGAATAGGGAGAAAGAGAGAATCATTGAAAAACAAAAAAGAAAGTCACAATGGGTTTTTTGGAATCTTGAGCCTTGGGTTGTAGTCCTGACTTTGCCACTATAATACTTTCTGTGTCACTTTGGGCAAGTCCCTTGGCTCAGTTTCCTATTTTGTAAAATGAGTAGGTTGTCCCTTCTGAAGCATGGGTCTCCTCTATAAATCTCTAACTTGTCATTCAATCACTTGAAGACCTATGACAGGACACTTACACTCTGCTGAGGTCACCAATTACACCACCCTTTTGGACACTAAGTATTAGAAGTTTTTTTTCCCCTTATACTAAGCCAGAATCTGCCTTCCAGTATCTTCCAACTATTCGACCTAGTTCTTCCTTCTATGGTCAAGCAGAACATCTTTCCTCTTCACGTTGGGGGTTAGTAATGAAGTTTTATACTCAGTCCTTTTTATCCTCTAGTGTGGATAACTGATCATCATCAAGAGCATTAGCTCAATTTAAATGCACATTACTACTCCTGATCATGAGAGATTTATGTTAACAATAATAAAAAATGATAACTAACATTTATATAATACTTTAAAGTTGATAATGCATTAAATACATTATCTCATTTGCACCTCACAGCTCAGGTATGATAGCAATTATCATATTTATTTTATAGATGAGGAAACTAATGTCAGAGATACTAAGGGACTTTCCCATAGTTACTCAGCTAGTGTCAGAAATCAGGATTTGAACCCAAGTCTTCCTAACTACAAATCCAGTACTCTATCCAGTACTCTAATATCAAAACAGAGAAGGATGAATCTGTGTCCTTTACTGATAGAATAAAAGAAGAGAGATATCATCTTAAGCATTTATGCCTCCTCTACGGAAAAAAAAAAAACATAGATATAGTATTTATGAAGTCAAGGATGCTGAAGATAGTGACTATGTCTGTATCATGAAGCATCCTCAGGGCTAAGCCTGACTTGGAAGTTTTAGATGGCTCCTCCATTCCCCACAATTGTGCTTCTCTATTGAATATTGAAGAACCAAACCAAGAATGATGACAAGAGCAGCAACAGAAGCAACACAACTATTGAAAATAAAATGAGCATATTGGACTAGAATACTCATGCCCACGATTCTTTCCAGCCCTGAGATTCTGTGTCAACTTGATCCAGTGACCACAGGCTTTTTGTAAAGACCAAGTTAGATGTGGACACCCTCTTGAAAACATAAATTACCATGCAAATCCAAGATGTTCTGTGATTAAGAGATTTCTAGTCAGACTTCTTTCTTTCAGAGGTTATTTCTTGGGTGATTTTTCTTTTTTCTTTTTCCTGATTTTTTTCTATTATGATCACAGCCCTAGGGGCAAGTGTTGTGGTCTGGTTGGGCCTGTCCAGGGTTTCTCAAGAGGCAAGGTATAGATAGACCTCATATATATAGGCTGTTGAAGAAAACCTCAACCGTTCTTGTCAAGAAGGAGCAGGGCTAGAGGTTATCAGTGAGAATGCGAGCACCATGAGTCTGGGAATGGAGAGATAACAAGTTGGTACACTGGTTTCTGTGCTGCAGTCCAATTTCTTTGTGAAAGTACGTGATGGAGAAGGGGCCAGACTATGTCATCCAGCATATTGGGAGCCCCACCCACAATTTAGGAAGCTAGAAAGCCTGGCTCAGTCTGGCTCAAGAAACTCCCAAGTGGTTCAGCTTTTGTGAGAGACTCAGAACCACAATAATGCGATCTTTTTTTTTTTTTTTTCACTTTACTGGGAGGCCAGAGCACCCAGGGCCTGGATCTGGCCCATAAGGGATCAGAACCACTGGCCCCTGTAAGCTGTCACTTTAATGCAAAAACTGGCAGGGGTGGTGTCGACTTCAATAATTACAGTAAAATTTTTAAATTTGGAGAGCAGGCTAATTTATACCAAGGATGCCATTGACGCCTACAATTCTCTGAAGCTCCAATTACAAGACAAATCTTCTTATGAACTGACTGCCAGTAAATGCTTTTGTTGTTATTCCAACAGCAGAAGCTAACTTGTTACTCTTCCCTTTTAGAATGAAGAAGGAGGAAAACATAAAAGCAAACTGTCTGCCCCCATTAGTACCTGGAGGTTATTCTTCTCCTAAGACTAACAAAGCCTAACACAGTCAGTATCTGGGAGCTGAGCAAACTGATGACATATGGCTGGGGGCTATCCTCTTACTTTTTACTATATAAAGAGCAGGGAGGATTAGAAGCACAAATAAACTGGAAAACCAGGGGAAAAGATCCAAAGAGATTACACATTAGAAAGAGTTTCTTCCATTCCCCACTCAGGACATTTTCATCTCCTGCAGGAGTGCTAAGAAGAGATTACATACTCATGTGTCTAAGGCTGCCCACCCAAAGGAAGGGCAGTAGAAGAATGATCCACTTGAATTGCCCTTCCATGATTCAGGTTTCCATTGCTAATCCAAATATTAGCAGAAGGGGTTCTAGAACCATGACAGTCCTCCAACAAGACAGACCTAAATCCTTAGGTTATGTTATTTCCCATTTCCAGAGGTAGCTAGGTAGCCCAATGTATAGAGCTCTGTGTCTGGACTCAAGAAGACCTGAGTTAAAATCTTGTCTCATACATTTACCAGCTGTGGTCTAGTCACTAATCACTTAACCTCTGCTTTAAGCGACAAACTCTGATTTAAGTGACCACTTAACCCTGGCCAATTCATTTAACCTCTGTCTCAGCTTCCTCAACTGTAAAATGGGCATCATAATAGTACCTACCTTCCAGGGTTGTTTTGATTATCAAATGAGGTAATATTTGTAAAGTGCTTAGCACAGTGCCTGGTACATAGTTTATGCTTAATAAATGATTGTTTCCTTCCTTCCTTCCTTCCTTCCCCCTTCCTTCCTTCCTCCCTCTCTTCCTTCCTTCCTTCCTTCCTCCCTCTCTTCCTTCCTTCTTTCTTTCTTTCTTTCTTTCTTTCTTTCTTTCTTTCTTTCTTTCTTTCTTTCTTTCTTTCTTTCTTTCTTTCTTCCTCCCTTTCTTTCTTTCTTTCTTTTTTCCTCCCTTTCTTTCTTTCTTTCTTTCTTTCTTTCTTTCTTTCTTTCTCTCTCTCTCTCTCTCTCTCTCTCTCTCTCTCTCTCTCTCTCTCTCTCTCTCTCTTTCCCTCCCTCCTCCCTTCCTCCTCCCTCCTCCCCCTCCTCCCTTCCTTCCTTCCTTCCTTCCTTCCTTCCTTCCTTCCTTCCTTCCTTCCTTCCTTCCTTCCTTCCTTCCCTCCCTAGTGTCAAGGGCCTGATATACTCTTTGAGATGCCCAAAGGACTTGCCCAGCACTTGAACTTGGTAACGAAGGAAGACAGATTAAGGATAGGATCCATAATTGGTGATGCTGGTGTAAGAGTGGAAGCAGGCTTTCAATATGCCTTCCAAACAAAGCCAGCATACACTCTCTGCACTCTGGACATGGTCTGCTTTGCGCCCTTACGAGTCAGTGCCCACTGGAGGCTTTGAGCCTTCACTGTGACACCTAAGCCTTGACTTCGTGCCATGGAATTAATTAACGTGTCATGGAATGTTCTAGGATTAAAAACATGTGTGCAAAAGGGGAGTTGACTAGGGAACTCCTTAGCACAGTGTCTAGCACACAGTTGGTGCTTAATAAATACTAGTTAACAACTAAGCAATTTGAACATAGCTCATCCCCTAAATATATCAGACTGTGAATTGTTACCTTATTGAGAAAGTTTATTAAGACCTGTGTGTATAGTAGGCGTTGCTAACATGAATAAACTATGGGGAAATATGCTCTTACAGGCAAGAATTCTGTGGGGTAGGACAATGGAAAGCATTTATTCATCTGGCAGTACTTGTGTCCAGAAGGTTCCAACCAAAACCTGGTCACTGTGTCCTAATACCCATAACTTTATCAATCTCCTAGCACTGTACTTTCCTCACCTAGCATTGAAATGTATGCCTCCGTCCCATTCATCTTTCAAATCTACACCATGCCCAACTGATTTTTGTTTCCTCAACCCAATCCTAAGATGAAAAATTGGCCAGCCATACTCCACTTGGTTGGAAAACAAGGTGGTGAGACCTGCTTATGTGCTTGTAGTCCAATTGTCCCTTGTGTCTATTAATAATAAAAAAAAATGCCTTGACTAAGCCAGGAAATCAGAGGTCTGAATTAATTTTGAAAAGGGGAGGGGCACGAAGAGGTATGAAGTGGGGGGTATGATTGAAACCAAGCAGAGCCACTGATGGAACATGAAGAGTTACCTGGAAAATTTGGAACCCTCTATAACAGAAGGCGTTCAAGAGTTTATTTGAGAGGAATTCTACCCTCCAGCCCCCCAATCAGAAGGGAGAGGAAACTGAGGGAGCTGAGAAGGTCTTGAGAATCAAAAGCTTAGTCAATCTACATGGTGATGAAATTTCAAGTTATCAGTTTATTCTGGTAGAGGCATGATGTTCCATGGAGTCAAAGCCAGAAACCAAGCAGAGCCATTGGTGGAAAATGGATTTGATCAATATTTTCCTTAACTTTGGCTCCTAGAACTGAATATAATACTTCAGGATTACAATTTCCCTTGGTCTAGGGGCACAGTGGATAGAGCTTTGTACTTCTGCTCAGAAAGAGCTGAGTTTAAATTCTGCTTAGATGCTTACCAGCTATGTGATCCTGAGCAAGCCACTTAACCTCTGTCTCAGTTTTCTCAAATGTAAAATGGGAATATTAATAGTACCTACCTCCCGGGGTTGATATGAGAATCAAATAAGAATTATCTTATTTGTAAAGCAGTTAGTACAATACTTAGCACATAAGAGAAATTTGATAAATGTTGGTTTCTTTCTTCCTGGATGCTATGTTTCTATTAAGCCAGAATAACATTTCAAGAGGTATTTTTGGTGGCTATTATTTCACATAGGGCTTTTAATTCATTAAAACCTTCAGATGTTTTCCCTGTAAACTTTTGCCTTGCTTTGGCTCTCCACCTCCCCCCTTTCATTGTGAAGTTGAATTTTTGGCCCTCAATGTAGGACTTTATACTTATACCTAAAAATTCATCTTACAAGATTTAGTTTTTTATTTGAGCCTGTTAAGACAATTCATTGGGTATGTCATACAGGAATTTTTTTTTCTTATATAAGGTTTGGATTAGATAGCCACTGAGGTTACTTCCAACTCTAAGATTCTGTGATCCTATGAGATCTTTTTGAATATTGTCATTGTATTCTGTCATAGTGTATCAGTCTTTCCATATATATATATATACACACACACACATATATATATACATACATATATGTATATATGATTATATATGTATATATACACATATGCATACATATGTACGTATAGACATATGCACGTACACATATGTATATATTTATATGTATTTCAAGTATACTATCTATGTAATTATCTAAGACACTGATAAAAAAAAACATTAAACAGAGCAGACTAGATGACAGAGATCTGGAGCACTTCACTAGAGACCTCTCTTCAGGATGATATTGATTCATTAATCACTACTTGTTGGAGCTGCTCATTCAGCCAATTTCAGATCTGCCTTCCTGTACAATCACATAGCCCATTTTTCCTCCATCTTATTCACAAAAACAATGTTAGAGGTTTTGGCAAAATCTTTGTTGAAATTCAAAAAAACTATATTTAAGACATAATTTCCTTTTTTGTTTTATTAGTTGAGTAACTGATAAAGAAAAAAAGGAAATTATGTATTACATGAACAGCTCTTGAAGTCATGCTGATACTTAAGGAATAAAATTGCTGTTTCTAAATGCTTATGGGTTATTCCTTAAACATATATTTAAAAACAAAAACAAAATGTATTTTAGAATATTTTTAAGCCAATCATTGAAGTTATCGTCATGGACCTTCATACTTATCCCATTTTTTGAAAGCCAGGACAGCACTCACCCTTCTCCAGTCCTGTAGCATCTCTCTTGATCTCTGGAATTTTTTCAGACACTGAGAGCAACTCAACAATCACACATGCCAATTGCTTCATTATCCTGGGGTACAATCCATCCAATTCTGGTGACTTGATTTAATTAAAGGCAACTCTGTTGTCTCTTATTAACTTACCATTCATTTTGACTATGTTAACCAGTTTTGTTCTATCCTTCCCAGTAGGGAAAATAGATGTACAATTAAGAATTGAGTAGTTCTTCCTTCTGTGATCTGTTATCAATGACCAACCTCAAAGCAGTGGATCTATCCTTTCTTTTGGAGGGGGAACATATAGTGGTAAAGGAAAGAAATGAGAAGAGAGTTACCTTCATATAATGCTATGGGCTTAAAATGTAGTGCTGTTAAATAAGAACTCACTTTTCCATTGCTCCCTGAGCCCAAGGTACAGTCATTGATTGAAGAAGAGTAGGGATTTGTTTTTACGTGATGGCACGAGCTCAGGGCACAGGTATTTATTAGGCAAGAGCTGAGCTGTCTGGGAGCAATAAGGATGCAAGCATGCCAGGGGATAGGAGAGAGAAATCTGAGTTTATGACATCAAGCTTAAGTGGTGGTGGCCTCAACAACAGCAGAGGCAAGCAGGACCAGAGCTGAGAGCATATAGATTAGGTACATAAAAGCTATAACAAAGAGAGTAAGTCTGCAGGGGGAAAGGGCTAGAAGATAGGACATAGACTCTCCAATTCCACTTATGCTACTGAGATTTCCCCCATTTCTATTACTGCATTTGTTTATGTAGAGATGATAATAAGATAACTCTGGAAAGGGAATAGTAGAATGACCCTGTTAACTTACTCCTGGAATCAAAGCAGAGATACATCCTATTATGCTTATAATAAATAGATTTTATGTTCAAAATACTTGTTAGCAACATTGTTTACTTGTAGGGGAGCTTACTCAAATTATTCTAGGAAAAAGCTAGAAATATGCTAAATTCACATATTCTAAGAGAGAGGCAGAGACAACATAGAGACAGAGACTCTTTGGATAGGGGCACAAAATAAGTCATATCAATATTATTAGAGAGAAGTTGCCCCTCTGTATATAGCTTAAGTTCTGAGCATCAAGGTTTGAAGAAGGAAGGAAGGAGGGAAGGAAAGAAGGAAGAAAGGAGAGAGTAAGAAAGGAAGGAAGGGAAGAAGGAAAGATTCTTTCCTCCAGAGGCACAATTACTTCAGAGTACTACCTTACCACCTTGTTATTCATATAACCACAGCTTGGCACACTTCTAAAAGGAATCTCAGATTGTCCCCTCAGTTAGGCACTGAGGTTGGATCTTCAAGTGCTAGAATGTCTCATCTCTCTTTGTGATCACCTATCAGAACCAGGTATACTCATTAAGGTGAGGTCTTGGTGAGGTCAGGATCATCAAAGCTTTATCATTGTTCCCCATCTCTGACCTAGGTATATAACAGATGCCTAGTTGAGCTAGAGCTTTGACTCACAAACAAGCTGGCCTCATGGTACTATGATTGCTAGTATTTTACTTTGATTCTTCCTTCTCTCTGCCTGACCTGTTGCCTGTCCTAACCTTTGCAAACTGCATGCTCCTTAATGCTTATTTGCCTCTATTCTTGGGTTGTTGTTGCCTCTGACCTTGCAACACCATAAACCCTATCATTGGTGCTTTAGAGACACTTATTGATTCAGCCACACAATTCTCCTTAACCTTCAGTGTACCTCCCTGATTGTTGACATACTGCTAAATCTTCTGATAACTGCATATTCCATACTACTCATTATTTTCCCAACTCTGTGTCTGGCTGCTGATACCCATTACCTAATATTGCACATTACATTTCCAGACTTTGTCTTATCTCCTCATTTTGGCCCCCTAGATTCTCTGGCTTCCTTCAAGTTAAGATGGTAAATTAAAGTAGATGGAGAGCTGATATGTGATTTTTTTGTTTGCAGATGACTGTGCACTCAATGGACCCTCTGAAGCTGAGATGCAACAAAGTAGGGATCAATTCTCTGCTGCTTGTGCTAATTTTGCCCTAATGATTAACACCAAGAAAACACATGTTCTCCACCAGCCAGCACCACATCATCCACACATGGAACCATTGATTACAGCAAATGGAGGAATTTTGAATACTTGTGGATAAATTCACTTACCTTGGCAGTATAATTTCCAGGGATGTCTAGAAAGATGATGAGGTTGATGCATGTATCACCAGAGCTAGCTCAGTGTTTGTGAGATTCCACAGGAAAGTATGGAGGAGAAGAGGCATAAGGCTGCCTACCAGATTGAAGGTCTAAAAAATTGTTGTGCTGACCTCATTATTGTATGTCTGTGAAACCTAGACAATCTACCAGTGCCATGCCAGAAGACTGAATTGCTTCCAACTGAATTGTCTTGGAAAGATTCCAAAGATCATTTGACAAGATAAGTTACTGGACACTGAGGTCCTTTCTTGAGCTAAACTGCCAAGCATTCAAACTCTATTCAAACATTGGAATGCAACTCCAATGGGCTGGCTGTATTGTTTGAATGCCAAATGTATGTTTGCCCTAGAGAGAACTCACATAAGGCGAGCACTCACACAGACATCAGAAGAAGTGGTACATGGACAGTCTAAAGGTCTCTCTGAAGAACTTTGGAATTGATTGTGAGACATTGGAGACTCTGGCACAGGACTGCCCAGCATGGTGTGCCGGCATCAAAGAAGGTGCCATGAACTATGAGCAAAGCAGAATTGAAGTAAAAGAAACATGAGATGTGCAAATTTAGAGACATCTCCACTTCAAATGTTCATATGGTCTATTTGTGCTCAACCTGTGGTAGAGCCTTCATAGCTTGTATTTGTCTGATCAGCCACAGTCAGACCCACTGTACCTCAACTCCAACATAATGATGTAATTTTGGTGCTCTATAAAAGCGAAGGACAGAAACCAACCAACCCTCCCTACCCACTGCTAGGGATTTCCCTTCTCAGATCATCTCTTATTTACACTGTATCTATCTTCTCTATACATTTTTTTTGCATGGTTTTTTCCCATATTAGGATATGATCTCCTTGAGGGCAGGATTATATTTTTATCTTCCTTGGTATCTCCAGATCTTAGCACAGTGCCTGGACCATAGCATTTAATGAATGCTAGTTGACTGACTGGTATTTGCTGTATCCATCAAGTGGTTAGGGTGGAGGGTGATGCGACATGCCTGTAATCCCTAATGCTGGGGAGGCTGAGGTGAGTGTCCTTTCCTTCTACCTCCAAACATTTAATAAGAGCCTATTATATGCAAAATATTATACCAGTCTCTAGGAGAAGAAAGGAAGTTTAAATAAGATGGAGATCCTACTTTCAAGAAGTTTATAGTCTACTGGAGTAACCAGACACAAACACAGATAACTATAATACATGATCATATACGATAAATATGTTGGTTAGTTGAGGGCAAAGGTCAAATCTGAGATGACTGTAAGAAAATCTCTCAAAGAGTGGGAGTCAGGGAAGGCATCCTAGAGGAGCTGATGTTTGCTTTGAGCTTTAAAGGATGAGTAAGAGGTAAAGAGAGTGAGGAAGGGAATTACAAAAATAAAGAACAATGTGAGCAAAGGCATGATGCCAAGCATGGCTCACATTATTCTTTATTTGGAGGAATAACAAATGGTCCAATTTGTCTAGGGTGTAAAGTGTGAAGAGAGTGATGGGAAATGTCAGAAAAGTAGAGTGATACCTCCTTATGCAGTACCAATTTAAATGTGCAGATGTCCTCAGCCCAGAGCCATTGAGCAGCAGGACCCCATGGCGACCCAAGGTCATTCTCATCCACTCATACATAAAATTCAGAGGCATCAACTTAAAGGGAGGTAAACATTTTTGTCCAAGTCAGTGTTTGACCAAGTCAGTGCTCGGAGTCTCTTTGATATAACTGATGCAAATACATCCCTCTCTTTCCCATGGTGATTTGCTACCATGGCAGCCTCTTTGATGTTGTATGAAGTTCAATGAAGCATAGCTGACATTTATATAGCAATTTGGGGTCTGCAAAGTGTTTTACATATATTGTCACATTTGATCCTCACAACAACCCTGTGCTGTGGGTACTACAGGTGTCATTAGCCTCATTTTATAAATAAGGAAACAGAGGCTTCAAGAAGTTAAGAGATTTCCTCATGGTCTTGGAAGTAATGAGTGTTGGAGGCCAGATTCTGTCCCGGTCTTCCCTGATTCTGAGTCTAGAACACTTTCTTATCAACCTGAAGTTGTTACCAAGAGCTAACACTTTCTCACTGATCTTAAATTGCTCTTTTTTTGTTTCAGGTCTTAGCACAGTGACTGGCACATAGTAGGTACTTAGCAAATACTTGCTGACTCTCTGCTCACCAAATAAGTCCTTTTTGACTATGGTTGTAACCTTGCTCTCTAAGTAAAGACAGCAGGATAGCCTCTGGTTTTGCTTGAATTACAGAAACAAGCATGGATTTTGTGTGTCCAATTGGCATTGATCTGTTTGAATTATCCAGTTAAGCAATTGCAGATGACCTAAATTCTTTGATAATTGCAAATCCTCCAATCTGCTGTGGATCCCAAGAGCTGCAATACTGGAGACTTTTGCTCCTCAACTCTAGTCCCAGTGGCCTTCAGAGAAGACAGCTGATTAAGCTTTGGGCCCAAGCTCCAGTCTCCTGAGTTCACATTCCATGTGCTAGACTAGACTCTAGCAGCTAGAGGACTCAAGCAGAAGGTTGGATGTTGGTGTATGTATGCTCGCTACTGTTTGTGTTTGTCAGATTTACGATCCATTAGTGGTACACTTATCAAAAGTGACGTTTATTGGGTGTGAAATGTACTCATTTGTTAGATAACACAAGCTGTTTAGTATTGAAGTAACTTCACAAAACAGTCTCCTCTGTCATTAGGGACCTCCAAGGATTAATTACTGAGGGCTGTGCCCAGGCTTTCAGATGTCTCCCAGAACCATAAACTTCTAAATCAAGGCTGAGCTGATTGCAAGAAAATCTTTCTCCAGCCACAATCTCCCTGCAAAGGGACAAAGAGGGCAAGTTAGGCAGTCATGAGCTCACAGTTCGGCATTCCTTTAAGACCTGAATCTCCAATAAGAAGTATGGGAATTCTCCCTTGCCTCAATCCTTACTTCTGATTGGCAATAATAAGAATACAGTTTTGTTGTGATGCTAGCTTTTAAAGTGCCCACAATTTCATTTTAGTTCTCAACAGTCAAGTGAGATATAGGTAGCTAAGACAGGAACCACTGTCATCCATTTTACAAGTGAGGAAACTTATTCTCAGAGAGGCAAATTGGCTAGTTTGCCTCTGGAAGATCTTCTGATACGTGAGAAATGAGCCACTAGAATGCATTTCTTCAAAGGCAGTTGATCTATAGAATCCACTTACTATTTCATTCTCCTCCTCCTCGTCCTACTCGTCCTCCTCGTCCTCCTCGTCCTCCTCGTCCTCCTCCTCCTCCTCTTTCTTCTTCTTCTTCTTCTTTTCTCTTCTTCTTCTTCTTCTTCTTCTTCTTCTTCTTCTTCTTCTTCTTCTTCTTCTTCTTCTTCTTCCAATGTCATGAACTGATTGCTGTTATCAGCACTACTAATACCTTGCCATTGCAACATGCTTACTTAAGCATTACAACAACTGGGGGGAATTAGATTTGAAATACTCAATAATGAATGTATTTAATAGCCCCCTCATCACCATAAGAGGCCTCACTGTAGGGCAGAGACCCTTGAGACAAGAATAAAGGTCAGGTAATAGTATCCCTATAGTGAGGAAACTCAAGAAATATAATGGCTAGTGATTTGACCAGTCAATCAAACAATTTTTGATAGCCAGTATCTCTGATAAAGGCCTCATTTCTAAAACATATAGAAAACTGAGTCAAATTTGTTAAGACGAAAGTTATTCCCCAATTGAAGCTAGGTGATGAAAGTCAGGACTAGAGCAGAGGTTTGATGGACTTCTTCTCCTAAGCCTCCCCCACTGTACTGCCTTGGCATGTTTCTCTTGTGCTATGGTCCTACCAGAGGCAGCTTCATGTCTTCTTTACAGATTGCTTTCCTATGTCACATGATCACACAAGAAGGGACTAAAGATGGCACATGGTATTTTCCACCCCTCATCTTCTTTGGGCCAGTCTCCCTGCCTGTCTTGCCTCACTGCTATCAGTCAGTCAGCCTTTTCTTGCCTCCTTTCTTTTTTGTCTCTGTCACTCTGCTCTAGAGGTGCTCTGCCATCCTGTGGATCTCGCTTTTACTTAATGACTCTCATCTCAGAGGAAGTTCCTCCCCAGAATTCACAATGGGCGACATTATGAACTCCTCATGTCTGGTGATAACTTTTTATGAGGTTTTTATTCTTTTACAATATATTAAAGCCATATTTTTGCCAGGTTTTTACTTCAGTTTATTTCTTGTCCTTGAATCACTCCTCTCTCTCTTGCTCCCTCTTTCTCTTTCTTATTTTTCTCTTCCCCCTTCCTCCCTCCTTCTCCTACTCTCTATACCTAAACTGTCTTTTGGTGGAGATGTTTAATTCCCCTTTAATCCCAATTCCCGGAGGTACATGAAAGCAACTTTACGATCCCATAAATCCAAGAAGATAAAGTGCATTTTTATTAGTTGTGTTGGCATCAAAGGAAAAAAATGGTATCTAATGTGAAATAGTCAATAATGAATTTGCTTAATAGCCCCCTCATCACCATAAGAGGGCTCACGATAGGGCAGAGGCCCTTGAGGGAAGGATGAAGAGGTAGGGAGACATGCTGCAGGCATGGTTTGGCTTTGCATTGGCTAGGCTTTCCCTGAAATGCACTTTCACTGAATGAGAGTCTTCTGCAAAAAAGATTCAGGGGAAATGAAAGAAAAGGGGCGGGGGTAGGTTGGGGCACTGAAAATGGAGGAATAGATTGGGGGGAAGGAGTAAATAAGGATAGTCCATTCCCCTAGAGCTAAGAATTCTTGAATTCTTGACTCCCATCT